GGACAGGGATCGAGGGGGCAAGTCGTCTTCCTTACCTCTCCAAGCAGCCTGAAAGGATGTTATATGGAAGAAGGGGCCAGCCTGTTTTCTCTTGTTCTAGAGATTATGACATGTAGCAATGGATTCAAGTCACAGGAAAAGAGGTTCCACCTAAACATTGGGAAGAACTTCCTGACAGTGAGAGCTATTCGACAGTGGAACACACTCCTTTGGAGTGTGATGGAGTCTCCTTCTTTGGTGGTTTTTAAACAGAGGCCGGATGGCCATCTGTCGGGGGTGCTTTGATTTTGAGTTCCTTCATGGCAGGGGGTTGGACTGGATGGCCCTTGTGGTCTCTTGCAACTCTATGATTCTATGAAGGCACATAGCAGAAGACTCTTATTAAAACAGTTGGTATGGTTGCTATGACATAACTTATTTCAGACAAACCCATGCTGAAACCCACCATTGTTTTCTAGCTCATGTTCTGACAGCTTAATATATTCTAGAATTTTATCCAGTAGATGTTTGTCTGTAGTTACATGGCTCTTCCTTTTAATGCTTCTTGGGTATGGGGATCCCCTTTGTCCATCTCTAGTCTTCTAGCATCTCATCTGTTTTTCTGGCATTTTCAGGTATTCCAGAGATAACACCTGCATGTTCTTCAGTACTTTGGGTTGTAATTTATCTGATTTTGGAGACTTGAACTCATTAAAGTCTTGCCTAATATACTCTGTGTGGGAAGCGGTGGCTCAGTGGTTAAAATGTTGACGATCACAAGGTCGGTAGTTCGAGAACAAAGTGCCATGTGACAGAGTGAGGTTCCATCACCAGTTCCAGCTTCTGCCAACCTAGCAGTTTGAAAGCATGTAAAAGTGCAAGTAGATAAATAGGGACCACTTTGGTGGGAAGGTAACTGTGTTTGGTGCAGTCATGCTGGTCCCATGACCATGGAGTTGTCTTTGACAATGCTGGCTCTTCGACTTAGTAACAGAGATGAACATCTCCTTTTACAGTTGGACATGATAAAGAAACCTTTACCTTTTTAATTTACTCTGACCTCCAGTACACTAGTGGGGTTCTGTTGGGATGGGGCTTTTCAGTGAGTTTTATATGAATGTTATCATTTACAGACCTCTCCTGCTGTTGTAATGCTACACTGTTATTAGAGGTGGGAGCAGGGTCTGGGGGAGCTTAGTATGCTGTCTATCTTCTAGACCATAATCCTTCTCTGACAAACCTCTAGTGTCACACAGACTTTAGTGTTATTTAAGATTTTTTTGGGGGGGGGTCTCTACAACAAAAGTGAGTTGATTATTTGGGAGATGTGATTGGGCGGAATAAAAAATCCCCTCCCAAAAACCTAACTCTGATTAATATTGTGACACAAATAATTCCTACTTTTTTTACACACATATAGAGCCAAGAGGCTGACATAGCAGGTATATACACACAGACTGTGTGTGTGCATTGTATGACTTCAAGTTATTTCTAACTTATGGTGATCCGAAGGTCATGGGGTTTTCTAGGCAACATTTGTTCAGAGGAGGTTTGCCATTGACTTCCCCTGAGGCTGAGAGCATGTGACTTCCCCGAGGTTATGCAGTTGTTTTTATGGCTGAGCTGGGAATCGAACCCTAGTCTCCTGAGTTATAGCCCAACACTAAAACCACAACACTACCCTGTCTCTCACAGACTACTAGACTATCACGCAGTGGAGGCTTTTTTGATTTCCATACTGTTGGCATTTCTCTCATGGTAGAGTTACATCAGTGTAATTTTGCACTTTAGTGTCCCTTCTTGATATACCAAATATATAAGGCTTGGCATATCGTATATTTTAGATTTGCTCACACAGAGCATTTTACCTAGAATCCTAAGACTCATTAGCAGGTATATAAGATTGCTATAGGATTGCTCTGTCAATAACAAAAATAATGTGTTTAAAAAGAAACAATGCATGCTGAAAATATGCTTCAGTTACATGTAGGCATACCTGGTTTATCACTGTCTTCATAAAATTAGTGTGTTTATAACTAATGTTGTCATTACAGCAAATGGATGTAATGATAAATAATCAGGAATGATGCTGAGTTTATAGTAGAGATGGTTAGAGAGATATTCTCCATTATGGCTGATGTGAATAACAGAAGAAAAAAGTAGAACCACATTTTAGTGTTTATATGATAAAGTAAAATGTAGAATTCATTAATGTAAATATTGATTTTATCCAAGAAATACATCAGTTGTGCTAAGAAAAAGAAATAAATCTGAAAATAAGCATATTGCTTTAGCTGTTTATATTTCCCCAGCTCTACCAGGACAAGACAATTAGATCTGGATATTAACTTTAATAATATTGATACCATTCCAAAAAAAGCAATTTGCATAATGAGGTGAGATGCAAAATGGATCTTGTTTGGAATTGATCCTTCTGTCCCATAAAACACTGCCCTGTAAATCTTCATTAATGCTGCTAGAATAAAAGATTACATCAATGGCTCTTTCAGGCTTTTAAGTCAATATTATTATAACAGTAGCTGATTAAATCAAATTTATTTTAGTATGGGGGTGGTGACAGAGAGAGAGGGCACAAACAAAAAACTAGCATCTGTTCCTTGCCACAGAAATAGCAAATATATAACATTATTTAAAACAGTTTCATATTATTGTTACAATATTATATATTTCTGGTAGTACTTCACCCAACAGATAGGTCAAATTGCACCCAACCATTACAGAGCCTGGGTTTTCTATGTTATACTATAATATCTACATTCTTGGTTGAATAATTAAAACTTGGCCTGAAATAGCCACTTGTTGGCAAACAGAACATAATTGCACAATTTATCTTACATGAATATTTGTGACCATTTCTTCTGTTCCCATAATCATGCCATCCAATTTTCTCCCCAGCTGCTGTGAGTAGTAGGTTCAGAAATTAAAGGAAACTGCC